TGGTGACAGAACCACCTGTTAACCTGCTCACCTCCTTCCCCCAAGAAGCTGCAGGAGATGTAGGAAACCATCCATTAAGCATTTCAGCCATGTTCCCCTGTGTGACATCATGACCCTGACTACTCGGTTTAATCCAGGAGCATTTTGGGTCTGAACCCAACTGGACCTTCTTTTCTGATTAAAGCTAGCAAACAGACTACAAACCAGAGGAAAGTTGAACCTCAGGAATGAACTAAAGAGACGTCCCAGAGACGGTTTCCAATCAGTTTAGGGCGTGACTATAGCTGTCACTATACTAGTCTTTAATGGAGCTAATTCATTGATTTTCATGATGCCAGTAATCCCTCTGCCACCAGATGGAGGATGAAGCCACATAGACCTGTGGCTCTCCTGCGCACACATCATTCTCATTTAAGGCTACTGTGCTCCATGGATACACGTTTATCTTCTAGGTAACCGTGTGTGTCATACTATCAGATAATTTCATGTTTTGGTTTAAAAACAAAGAGCTGTCTCTAATGAACTGCACAAAAGCACCAAAGCTATCGGTTCATATGTAAGCACTGTTTAGCTGTGCCGCACACAGGCCGGTGCCTGACAGCTTACCTTGAGCCTTTCCTCGTTGAATAAATCCTCCGCCACTTTGCAGGCCACCAGGGCGTCCGGTAAATCCGTGAACTGAACATCTACCGGGGCCGCCTCCTCGCCGCCATTATCCGCCTGCTGCATCACCAAATATCTGGAAACATCGACAGCCTTCCGTCAGCACCGACACATACTGCTTACTGCCTGACTCTACACCTACCAACACCTCTGATATGCCGCGGACCAAAACCAGGACATGAAGCTATTTTTGTGGATAAACATATTATGACAAAGGCGTCGCTGCGCTGTTTACCCGCCGGTGTTAGCAGCGATGTCCTGTCTGTGTGTGCCTTCAGGCGGCCGCTGGCTCCTCACTGTGCTCGCAAACCCGAACTACTGTCAGCTGTACTTACAGCTACCTGCAGCTACGCGGAACAACGGAAGAACTTCCGGGTTTTCTTCTTCTCCGGCCGTCGCGGCAGTCTACATCCGGTCACGGTGCGCTACTGCCTCAGCGGTCCGACGACTCACCTCCACACAGGGGCTGTATCCCAGTTCAGGGTCTGCAGCCTTTTTTTTACTTTATTTATCACATTTTAGACACACAGTTAAGTAAAACAGGAATCACATAAATATGACATTGTGGTATTACAATGAGGAACAACGAGAGTGACAGGGACAGTGAAACAAAAGTGAGTACAAAAATAACATAAATTAAGGGGAACATAAATAAACAAAAGTTTGCAAGAGCCAAAATCAAGTTAGTAGTTTCAAACGGTTACAGATGTTAACAGTCTTGAGAGCCTTGGTGGTTTTTGATGAGGAGATTGTCCTCATATATTGAGTTTCATTTTTAATACAAGAAGTTCAGGCTTTCTGCCGAGGACTTTGCTTTTGTGTATGTGAAATTTTGCCCAAAATAAAACCATATTTATAAAGAAGAAAGCATCACTGTCCTTGTCTTTAAAATTATAATAGCCAAAGATAACATCCTTGTAGTATAGTTGAAAAGTAGGTAGAACAGAGTCAGTAATAAACTTGTGGAAGTCCTTCCAGAATTTACATGTAAATTTACATGACC